GTGTTAGTTTTCAGTTTCACACGACCGAGTCCGGCGATCGGGGAGCCCACTAAGGCTGGATCGGGCCAATCGCCCCGACTCGGTCGCCTAAAACTGAAAACAAACACGTTCGTTTTTTAGGCGATCGAGTCGGGCGATCGGCCGATCCCATCCGTAGTGGGCACCCCGTATAAGACGACCACTTTTCTCCTCGACAGTGGGTAGCCGTCCTGGACAATTGTGACTATGGTTTTAATGTATAATATTAGTGTCATGACGTGGCAGAATCTGGCGCTCGTCAATTATTATTTATGGGCAAGTGGAGTTCTTGGTACCATCTTAAAGTTTATTGTATTTTCTTGATCTACATGAAAAATGTAACCACCTGTGTCTAATAGAAATTGTGATAGATCTATTTGCGATTGAAGAAGGTGGGAGTCGCCTGGTTTCTGAGGTAAATTTACGAGAATATAGCTGCCAAAGTTTGGTAACTTCTATCATTTGAGATCCCTGAAAAATAAAAATTTACAATTTTTGTGCCTTCAATCTAAATGTTTCAGTGAAATTTATAAAGAAATGTGTTTTTAAATGGACGTAAAAGATGTTGAGCCCAAAAACAAAAATTCGATAAAAATTGCCTAACCGTCAGAAAAATTCTGTTTTCTTCGATTTCATTATTTTGACGAGCGCCTGGTTTCACCACGATGACTTACACTTTATACATGTAATGGGTTGGTCAGACTACGACCTCATTTCACCAGGAAAGGATAAGAAAAGGCTACTGACAAAGAACGTATTCCTACAAGACCGTAGACTGTATACGTTTTACAATTCACTATAGGTCTTTCATAACAGTAGAAAGTATTCAGAGGTCACTGTAGATCTTTCATAACAACAATAAGAGGCGTTCAGAGGTGTTTCGCTATCTCTGTTGGTACCCTGCTGGACTACGGAGCGGATGACCTTGGTTCGAATCCCAGACTGGTCGTTCTTGAATCGGGTCGTTTTGTGGAATGTTCAAAGCTCTCAGCCCGTTTGCCTCGGTCCTATCAGAAACGAACTTTAAATTTGAAGCTCTCGTCTTTTAAATTACCTAACAGTGTCGATAGGGGCATTAAACCCCATACACTTACACTTACTTTACAACAACAAGGTTGAGAGATAATAGATAAAATTGACCCCACAAGACCGCTCCCTTTCATCTGAAAATGAAACTGGAAGTTGCCTAAAGTGAAGCCTTCCTAGAAAACATGACACGTCATCTCTGGATTAGAGGTTGACGTGTAACGACCCGCCATTGTTTGCGATCGATACCTTCTCTCGTGCGTTCTGGCATGTTTGTTTAGCCCAGTCCCAAGGACTACTATACTCAGTATAGTAGTCCTTGCCCAGTCCGTATTTTTATGACGTCGGTCCCCATTGTACGCTGTCCACGCATTGTCTTGGCCGGCAGTTCCGGGTTGTCAGCTCTCCCAAGAGACCCAAATTTGGTACACATTTTATTCAAGCCTTTACTTGTGTGTACTGAAAATTTGAAGGCAAAATATGTCACCGCTTTATGCAATACTCCGTTTGTTTTAGTAAAGTTTTACGTCGCTCGCAACTGAATATATGTAAGGTCATATGAGCGCCAGGGGTGGATGCCATCAGAGAAGTCTGAACGGGGAATCAGGCTTACTCTGTTCACCCCTCTTGCCTCAACAGCGCAAAGTCTGCTTCGACTATCAGGGCACCCCAGAAAAAGCAGTTCCCAAGAGAGTGATAAACTCACAAAAGAAGTAGAGGGAAAATAACGATAATAAGGATGCGGAAAGAAAAAACAGCAGTTCCCCCTATGTTGTTCCGCACAGTTTGAGCATGACTGATAAATCAGCCCATTTGCAATTTTACTGTTCATGCCTAAAGACAACTTCAGTCAGTAGCACTGCCCTTGTGTGTGTGTGTGGGG